GGTAGGCACCACAAAGTCTTGGCACCTGAAATCCCCCAGCCTCTGGCTAGGCTCAGTTCCTCTGCAGCCCAGGGCTAGGACCTGACTTCCAGAAGACAAACTTAATGTCAAGTCCCTCTGGACTCAAGCTTCTGTCACAGGGTATGCTTGGTCCCTAACTTCACACCCATGATGCTGAGGCCTCACTCTTGACTCAGCATTCAGTGATTACTCCGGGAAGGCTCAGGTGACCATTATAGGGTACTGGAGATTGACTTGGATCTGCTGCATGCAAAGCAAGAACCCTACTAACTCAACTAGCTCTCTGGGCCTGAGGTCTTTAACTTCTGGGGAATCTGCCTGTCATGTCACATGTCCCCTGTCTGTACAGATCTTGGCACTGCCGCTTGGTGGGGTGATGTCTGTTTCGACCACAGGAGGAGGTTAGGAGATAATTGATTCATGTGCTGCACATAGAAACCTGGGAACGCTGGATCCTTTTCGAGGCAAGTGTGGGGCACCTACCCACCTATGTCAAAGCCACCCCACGACCTTGTAGGAAGGTGCAGGTCACCCCCCACACCTGACCCCTCCTGATGGAGAGCTTCTCTTTAGCGAAGGCCACTGGTCGCTGTTGTTGGGAGTTGGGTAACATCAGTCCTTTTTTATTCTTTCAGTTTTGGGGTGCATAGGGTACTCCGGGCTTACTCTGGGCTCTGCTCCAATCATGCCTGGTAGCAGCGCTCAGAGACTGTGTGCTGTGTAGGGGATTGAACCCTGGATCGTCCGGTCTCAGAGAGCAAGGCCTTAGCTCTGTCTCTTCAGCCTTCACTTTTACTTATTTTTGGCCAGAGGAATCAGACTTGGGGCCTGAAACTTGCAAGGCGAGTGCTCAACCCCTGAGATTTCAAAAGACCCAAACAGAGACCCTGGAAGTTACAGGGAGCCCCTTGGGAAGAGGTGGGGTGAAGATGCTGCCTCCATCCTGATACCCAACATTCTGGTGCTTCCATCTACCTGTTGCTGAGAGAGAGAGAGAGAGAGAGAGAGAGAGAGAGAGAGAGAGAGACGTGCGTACACGTATATATGCATACATGTATGTGTATGCATCTTTACCAATTAGGGTTACGCTGAACAAATAGTTTATTGCCTCAGTTTACAGTTCTGTGACTGAAAGAGTTACAATGCAGTTACAGTGCACCTGGGGATTCATGTCTACCTGGGGTTAGCCCAGGTGACAGCCCTGGGAACGGCCTTGGTATAGCCTAGCTGCCCTTGGACTATGTGGTCTTTGGAGCTAACTCTTGCTCTGTGCCCTCCCTGCTGCCCTTCCTGGTGGGTGCTGTGACTGCCCAGGGTTGACATGCTCTCCAGGGGGCTGCCTGCCAGGCCGCAAGAGACGCGCACTCTTGGTTGAAGCTCCTGCCGTGTTTCTTGATGGGCTCTTGGCTGCTCGACCAAGCTCGCCAGAGGACCAAGTCTTTGCTCAGTGGTGCCACGGCTCTTTCTTTCCGTGGCTCTGGCAGGAGTGCTGGGGGAATGGCCACCCCCACAGCTCTCAGTGCTGGTGGCACACAGGAACGGGACTGCGGCCAGACCCTGGCGGGGCCCGCTCACAACCACCACATACTTCTCCCTCGAGGCCAGGTCTGTGCTTGCCAAGGGAGGCCTGTGGCAGTGCAGAGGGCCCCAGGATGCATTTATTGAACTCCAGGATAGAAAATGTTTTAGCTGTGGAGACACACAGAGCAGGGAATCTCTCACCCATGGCTGCAGTTTCTAGAAGCTACTGTGTGTTTGTCGGTGAGGCCAAAGGAGAAATTAAGAAAGTGTGGGATTTAGAACTTATTTTTTTGGGGGGGGTTGGCAAACCTAGCAGTGTGTGGAGTATAACGGGCGGAGCTCTGGAAACCCTACAGGGCAGTGCTGGGGTCACACAGAGCTCCTTATCCTCCCTGTAGGATCTCACTGGCCAGCAAGTCATGTTTTAAACCCTGCAGATGGAGCAGGGAGTCTGTCCAGCTGCCCTGAGCTTAGGGCCATCCGGCAGCCCCAATACTTGGAGAAGATCACTTGGTTTTTCTTCCCACAGTCTCTGCCGTGCCCAGAGGCCTGCACCTTACACACTGCAACTTTTTGATGCTGAAATCTGGCTTTGGGGGAAGGCTTTCTGCCCACAGCGTCTGGCCCTGAGGCCAGTGGACAAGTTGGCACTTCCGAGATTCTGGAGGAAGGCCTGAAGTAGTTAATCATTGTCTCTGGGCTTCTGAAGGGAGGCCATTCCAGCCTGACTGTTGGCCCAGTTATAGTCTGTGAGATTTGGGTAAGCTCACTTTCAAACTTTTGACAGCCACTACTCCCAGAAACTTCTACTTTTCCAGAACTTATGCGGTCTTTTTTCTTCTTTCTTTCTTTCTTTCTTTCTTTCTTTCTTTCTTTCTTTCTTTCTTTCTTTCAGAGGTGGGGGTCACACTTGCAATGCCCAGGGATCACTTTTGTCGGTGTTTGGTGACCTATGGGATATTGCGGATCTAAACTGAGATGGCCATGTATGTGGCAAACCCGCTATACCATCACTCTGGCCCCTTCTCCAGAATTTTCTTTGGAGGGGATCTCTCTTGTGTCCACGCCTGGTGGAGCCCAGCGTCTCATCCTGTGCTGGCTACCCAGATGATTTAGTTCATTGGCTTGGCTGATGGAGAGGCACTGGAAATTAATTATTACTCTGAGCTACACTTCAGCAGTTTTCCTGGGATTTGGGCTGCTCTGGGTCAGCCAACCTGTTCTTGCGGGTCAGGGCTAGGGCCCAGGCTGGGGAAGGCCTCCTCCCTTACTAGCAAGAGAAAACAAGACACCAGGAACTTTGAACCAGCACAGCCTGGACCCCACGGGGGTAAATAAACCATGCTGTGTTAGGAATCCATCCATCCTCACAACCAGGACAGAGTCACTGCAATACGCTGGCCCCGGGAATCCTGGGAAAACACCAAATAGCAGGAGGAAGGGGCTTGAGATCCTGCACTTCTTTTGGCTTTGGGCCCATACCTGGCGATGTTCAGGACTTAACTCCTGGCTCTGTGCTCAGGGGATCACTCCTGGGAGTCCTGGTCACCATATGGGATGCCGGGGATCGAACCTGGGTCAACCACGTGTGAGGTGTAATGCACTCCTAACCAGCTTTGGAGTCTTTGCCAGCCTGTAGCTCCCTCTGACATGGGGAACTCTAGTCCAGCTTCTTTGCCCTGTGCCCCAGCTGGGAGGGTGGACCCCTGCAATGGACAGTACTGCAGGTGACCCACAAGTCCGCATGGGGGCGCTACAGAACCGTTGACATTGAGACCCGCAGCGCCCCCTGGTGAGTACGTGCCAGCATTACTTACGCAGCCTAGAAGCTTCTAGAAAGTTACTACTCTCTGGAGAAAGAGTGTGCGCCAGCAGTACCTCGTGGCGGTGAGTCCTGGAGAGGGGGAACGAGGGCACAGAATGCCCAGGGCTGGACTGTTAGAGGCTTTTCCCATCGATTGGGAATGATTTCCAAATGGGGTTGAACAGGAGCGCAAGGCCTCACCATGGACCTAGGCTAATTTTTTAAAATTTTCTTTTCGGGTCACACCCCGCGATGCTCAGGGGTTACTCTTGGCTCATGTGATCAGGAATTACTCCTGGCGGTGCTCGGGAGACCATGTGGGATGCTGGGAATTGAACCCTGGTTGGCCGCATGCAGGGTAAAGGCCCTACCCGCTGTACAATCACCCCAGCCCCTAGGCTAATTTTTTTCCAAGAAATAGAAGCCAAATGCAAAGGCCCGTGACTTGTGGCTTTTGTTGTCTTGGGGCCAACCCTGGCAGTGCTCAGGGCTTACTCTAGGCTCTGCACTCAAGGGTCATGCCTGGCAGGCTTGGGGTACCACATGGGCTGTCGTGGATTGACCCCCCCAGGTTGTTGTGGGCAAAGCAAGTGCCTCACCTGCTCTGCTCTCAGACCCTGGTCTGGGGCTGCAGGAATTCTGGTGAACGTGTCCTTGGTACTCAGTGAATTTAATTCGGTGATGTTGTGTTGTGATTCCTGGAGGAATCGCCCCTCCTAGAGATATTGGAGGGTTGAGACTAACTCAGCTGTATGGAGGACAGTAACCCGTTCCCTGTGAAACAGGCATGAGCTCAGGAGGCGAATGAATCAGTGGAAGGTCCAGGTCTTCCAGCCCACAAAGGTCATGCAGCCCCTCAGTCCCTCAGAGAGAGCCTGGGCTGAGTTACTGTTTGCCTCCTGCTAATGCAGACCCCAGCCCCAGAGCAGTAGGAGCTCTGAGGTGGGGGTCAGTGGGGTCATGCCCTGTGGTCAGTGCTCCCCTGTCCTTGTGGGTCTGTGCCTCCTCCATCCCTTCCCTTCTGGGGTACTTGGGACTCTCAGCCCCAGCTGGTGAGGGAGGAGGGGAGTGAGTGACAGGCCAGCAGACCAATAGGCCCTGGAGGTTGCTGTGAGGCGGGGCTTGTGCTGCCATGGAGAGAAGCTGTTCTGTGGGGGAGGAGGGGGCGGTGGGAAGAGGACCTGGAGATTGAGGGGAAGGGAGAGAGCAAACAAAGGGGTCAGGAGGGAAAATAATGCACTGGCTTCCTGAGTCTGGGCAGGCAGAAGGGGCCAGGGGCAGAGGGGACCAGGGCTGGCGGCAGGCGGGAGGGTCCGAAATGGCATTGTTTGAAGTGGGCAGCTAATTGCTCAGAGCGGCCGGAGCCCCAGCCCCTGCCCCGGGCGAGCCTCCCTGGCCGGGGTCAGCGCTGGCTCCTCGGCCTTTGGGCTGCCTGGCCACAAGGAACCAAGTCCTGAGCCTCCTGAGTTTGGTGAGGGGGGGGGCAGGTTGTTGGGGGGCGGGTTGGGCGGGGTGCCTGGGGCAGGGGTCGTACATGCATGCGTCCTGGGGTCGCCGGGCCCAGGGACTTGGACCCAGCGCTGGGAGCTTTGTAGGTGCGCCGCCTAAACCGGCCTTGGCACCCCAGCGCCCTGACACTTCTGGCCCCCCACAGGAAACCATGAAGGGGGACACGCGTCAGCTGAGCGGAGAGGAGGAGGCCAGCGGGAGGGAAGACTCCATCATGACCAACGGGGCCTGCAGCGACCAGTCCTCCGACTCCAAGGATGCCCCGTCCCCCCCGATCCTGGAGGCCATCAGCACCCCGGAGATCAGAGGTGGCTGGGCCCGGGGGCAGGGGGAACACAGCAGGGACGGTTTCTGCCTGGTGGGAAGGCTCTGGGAAGCCGGTCCCAAACTGGGTGTCCACGTGTGTCGATAGAGCCCCACCAGCTTTGCCACTCTGAGCTCCCCGGGGGTGGGTGAGTGGGGGACCGGCTCTCCTTAGCAAAGAATCCCATAAGGTGCCCCAAGCAAATGCCCTGGGGTGCTTGCTGTTGCCATGGTTTTGGGGTCACACCTGGCACTGCCCAGAGCATCACTTTGCACTCAGGAATTAATCCTGGCAGTGCTCTGGGACTATATGGAATGCCAAGGATGGAACACGGGTGGGCTGCAGGCCAGGCAAGCACCTTACCCGTGACAGTATCTCACTGTCCACCCCACCTTTGCACTTTATTTATTTTTGCTTTTTGGGTCATACCCTGTGATGTTCTGGGCTGACTCCTGGCTCTGCAGTCAGAAATTACTCCTGGCGGTGGTCAGGGGACACTATGGGATGCTGGGAATTGAACCCAGGTGGGCCTAGTGCAAGGCAAACACCCTACCCGCTGTGCTACCATTCCAGCCCTATGGCCTTTTTACTCACGCATCAGAGCTTGAGCCTTTGGTCCCTTGGGAGGGGATCTGGCACCCTGGGAAGTGGGTCAGAGGGCAGCCACATCCACCCCGCTTCAGAACCTTTTCCCGACAGCTCTGCATGCAAACCCCTCTTTCCATTCTGCCCTTGGAAGGTGCTGGTGCTACGCAGTCCAGCAGGACTTTCTGGCAGGTAGCGAGTATCCTCTGTGCCCCACGGTAGCCGATAGCCACACACAGGCAGGGGCAGCGATGGATTGATTGGTCACGTTGGCAGGACGTGACACCCACAGGGACAGAATCCCCAGGAGCGACTGTTGGGGCTGGGCAACCAGGAATAGATCTTGGAAGAGGACACTGGACCTCTGGTTCACCCACTAACTCTCTGGTTCTTTTAGCCACAGGCCGAAGATCGAGTTCCCGACTGTCCAAGAGGGAGGTGTCTAGCCTGCTGAGCTACACACAGGTACGGCTTCTCTTTTGCAGATTGTAGAGGGTGGGGAGATTGACCAGAGGTCCAGCAGAGCTCTGAGGGTGCACCAGGAATGGGCAGGAAGCCCTTGTTGCAGAGGGGGCATGAGCAGTGCTTGGCTCTGAGGGGAGGCTGAGAAGCCGCTAGTGAGGTGTTTGACAACAAACACATCACACTTTTGATCCTGAAGCTTCTCATTATTCAATTTAGCTTTCTTTTTTTTTTGGGGGGGAAAGGGGGGTTCATTCCGCTACTCCTGGCTCTGCACTCACACATCACTTCTGGCAGAGCTCAGGGACCATCTGGGATGCCAAGAATTGGACCCAGGTTGGTCGCGGCAAGGCAAGCATTCTACCCACTGCACCATCTCTGTGACCCTGGTGGAGCTTTTTCACTTGATTCTTCTGACATAGTTTTTGAAATATACCTGGAATGATCAATTACATCATTTCATTTAAAGTGTCCCTTTTACAAGTGAAGACAATCTAACATGGTCGTGAAATGATTCATATTATTGTCCTCGTGGTTTTAGAAATGCATGGAATTGACGTAAATCTATGCTTTTCTGGGCCACATGCGATTCTTCTGGCTCTGGACACAGTCCTGGCAGGGTTTGGGGGATCATATGGGGGTCTCAGGGATTGAACCCAGGTGGACTATGTTGTCTCTCTGGCTGCTGATTTTTTTTTTATTTGATTTTTTTTTAATTTGTTGAACTAGAGAATGATTATTGCCCTAGAATTTCCCGTTTGGGGGGACAATCCCATCCATGCTCAGGAACCATGTTGGCAGTGTCCAGGGTTGAAACTGGTGGTCACATGCAAGGCCTCTGTGTACTCTCCTCCTCCCCTCCCCTCCCCTCCCCTCTCTACATCCCCCCCTTCCCTCATTTCCCCTTCCCTCTTCTCCCTTCCTCTCCCCTCCCCTCCCCTTTCCTCCTCTCCCCTCTCTCTCACTGTCCTGCCCAATATCTATAGATATTTATCTTTTATTGCTTAATATACATATGCCTTGAGTTTATCAATCATGCTAGAGTTTTGCCCACTTGGATCCTGTTTCCAGTGCCTGCCTGTGTCAGACCAGCATTCCTAGGTAGCGGCTCTCACATAGATTGGGTTTTGGTGGGGATCAGGATGAGCAGGAATCAGCTGTGCGCAGGGGACAGTGGCCTCCTAGGCTCAGGACAGCTGCTGCCCTTCCGTCAGATCACCCTGCTCACAGCAGGGACATTCCTGTCTAAACATTTGCTTTGCCGCCCGCCCTGGAGAAAGCCTGTATTATTAGATCCTCACGCCAGCGCTCTTCATGCTTCTCCCTCTATCCTTGGCGGGCGGGGGGAGCGAAGACTCTGGGTTGCAAGATTCAGACACCCTTTTGCCTGGGAAGCACCAGAGATATCAGTGGCAGGTGCCCCTGGGTCTCCCTAGTCATGGGGATGGGGCTAGGGCTGGAGTTTAACATTTTGATTCCTGGACCAACGCACTGTCCCCTAAGCTTTGGGTTTTTTGGTCATACCCAGTGATGCTCGGGGCTTCCTGGTTTTGTACACTCCTGGCAATGCTCAGAGCAAGCATTTTTGCCTGCTGTGCTCTCTCTTCAACCCCCATTCTGAATTGAGAATTTTAAAGATTCTGGGGAGGGTGTTTGGGATCCCAACTGACTGCTCAGGGCTTATTCCTGGAGGGGATCAGGACCATATGAGATGCTGGGGACCACATCCCGGTTAGTTGTGCATCACGTCAGCCCCAGGCAGACCCCACTTTGCTCACGATGTCGATTAAGTTCCCTTTGTTTTGTTTGTCAAGGACCTCACCGGCGACAGAGATGATGGAGAGGACGGAGATGGCTCCGACACGCCGGTGATGCCGAAGCTCTTCCGGGAAACCAGGACGCACTCCGAAAGCCCAGCCGTAAGTCCCGCCCGGAGCCTCCACGCCTCCGACATGTAGCCTGTGGCACAGCTAAGCATGCATCTCCCAGAGAGAGGTTATGGGGTTGAAGCTGGAGAAGGGCCACATGCCTCAGTTGGCATCCTGGCCCAGTTTCTTTTTTTTTTTTCCCCACTTTTTGGGTCACACCCGACAATGCACAGGGGTTACTCCTGGCTCATGCACTCAGGAATTACTCCTGGCGGTGCTCAGGGGTCCATATGGGATGCTGGGAATCGAATCCGGGTCGGCCACGTGCAAGGCAAATGCCCTACCCGCTGTGCTATTGCTCCAGCCCACCTGTGGCAGTTTTAATTTATACTTTCTCATGTTTTTGGGTTTTCTTTGTTTGGAGAGAGCCATGCAGCAGTTCTCAGGGTTTTTTTTTTTTTTTTTTTTTTTTTGGTTTCTATGCTCAGGATCTCTCCTGACAGGGCTCAAGGGACCCTATGGCATGTCAGGGATCAAACCCAGGTCAGCCATAGGCAAGAACAGCACCCTGCCCTCTGTACTATCTCTCCTGCCTTTTATATATGTTATTTTCAGTTTTGGGATCCACCCAGCAGTGCTTGGGATGACAGGCTATTGAACACAGGGATGAAACGTGGGGTTCCTGCAGGCATAACATGAGCCATAGCCCCCTTGGAATTACCGGGTGCCAACAGGGGATACGCGTCACCTCCTTTCTACAGATCCCAGAACTTAACCCAAAGCTAAACAAGAAATCCTTCAAGCACTCAAACCCTGGTTTATAACACCCAAGGTCTGCATTGTTAGGACACCTGGGGCTTGGGACCAGAGTAGTATAGTGGCTTACACCCTGCTCTCGTCCTTGCCTTCATGTGGCCTTACCTGGGTTCGATCCCCAGCACCGCATGGTACCAGGTCAAAGCCACGGTCCTCTAATCCTTGAACACAGCCCTGAATCCTGAGCCTCACCAGGTATGGGCCACAAATGAAAAAGAAACCTGTGCTGGATTACTGGAGTTAAGGTGCTGGTTTTGTGTTCCTGTGGGTCATTGGTTTGAATCCTGGCGCTCAAAAGATTTCTGAGCACCAAATGCCGGGAACAAAAGAAGCATCACCTAACTAAACCTACCTCTGAGGTTTTGATTCATCGCCATTGACAATCCAGCTCATCTTCTAAGATTCTTGGAATTTCACTTTCTGGCATTGGGGTCCACACCCGGCAGTGCCTAGGACTTGTGGCTCTGTGCTGAAGGATCACTTCTGCCAGTGCTCAGGGGGGCATATGCTGGCCTGGAACAGAACTTGGCAAAGTCATGTGCAAGGCAAGCACCTGACATCCTGCTCTCCAGCTCCTAGGCTTTTTTTTTGCGTGCAGAGGCAGGGGGACAATTTCCTTTAGAGTGTCCCTGCATTGTTGTCAGTCTCTCTTGCAGGCGCGGCTGCAGCTGGGCGCAGGAGCATGGGATGGGGAACCCTTCTCCTTCCGCTGTCCCATGGCCTTGGGAGTTGGCAGTACAGACCAGTCTGCTTAAGCTCCGGCTCGACTCCATGGACCTGAAGCTCCACCCCGGGTCCCCCCACTCAGGCCCCCCAGCCCCCACTCACCACGGCTCCCGTGTTGCCCTCTCCCTTCTAGGTCCGAACCCGAAATAGCACCCGAGCTTCCAGCAGGGAGAGGCAGAAGCCCTCCCCCCGTTCCACCCGAGGCCGGCACGGCCGCCACCCCGTGGACGACAGCCCCGTGGAATGCCCAGTGACCAGGGTTGGTTCTTGGGAGCTCGGTCCCTGTGCCGTCTCTCTCTGCGTCTGTGTCGTCGGAACGGATGGAAAACCAGGGCCCTCTCCGCCTTGTCTGGCGTCAGCGCTCTCTCTCTCTCTCTCTCTCTCTCTCTCTCTCTTTTATTTCTCTCTCCCCCCTTGGTGCTGGTTAGATCCTAAATTCTATGAACTCTACTGAGCTGATCTCCTGGACCTGGGGGGTCTGCGAGCCTGCCCATGGGGCTCTCTGGCCTCTCTGTGATCTTCACCGGCTGGACCCCAGGGCAAGACCACTGGGTCGGGCACAGCACCTGGATAAGCGGGTTCACAGGCATCTTCCCAAAGGACTCTCCTCTCTCTGTTCTCATCACAGGGGTGTCCTACGCACTCGAGCTGGACGGTCACCTACTTCCCTCCTAACTGACGTTTCCACTCTCTATTGGCCTGGGTAGCCCTTGGGTCACCCTGGACAGTGGGGAACCAAGCTTGTGTCTTTCTGTTCACAGTCCCTGCTGCGCCGAACCGAGTCCTCGGCCAGCACCCCGTGGCCGTCACCCTCCAGCTCTTACCTCACCATCGACCTGACGGATGATGATGTGATCCCACAGAACAGCAGCACGCCCTACACCTGCCTGGTCACGGATGGCCCGCAGGATGGCCCGGAGTCCCCCAACGTGCGGGATGCTGACAGCCGAGACACAGACAGCACCGAGTACCAGGTACTGGGGAAGGGACAGGACAAGGACCCCGAGGGGAAAGGATGGCGCATCATTGAGCCTTTTAATATTACTTATTTTGGAGCACATCTCCCACTTCCCAGTGAAAAGGTCTCTTGTACCCAGAGATAACGCCTGGATCTGCCCAGGGGTTGCTGTGGGTAATGCTGAGGAAGCAACTATGCCAGGACTCAAGTGAGGTTCTGCTGCATGCAAGGCTAGTACCTTTTTTTTGGTGTGGGGGTCACGCCCGGTGATGCTCAGCGGTCACTCCTGGCTCCTGCACTCAGGAATTAGTCCTGGCGATGCTCAAGAACCATATGGGATGCTGGGAATCGAACCTTGGTCGACCATGTGCAAGGCAAATGCCCTACCCCCTCTAGCTGTGCTATTGCTCCAGCGCCCAAGGCTAGTACCTTAAACTCTATATACTTAGTATTTTCCCATCCCTGCCACTTTTTTTGTTTGGTCAATGGGCCATACCTGGCATGCTAAGTTCTCATTCCTGGTGTGCTGTGAACCATATGTGATGCCAGGGTTCGAACCAGGGTCAACCATGTGCAAGGCAAGCACCTTATGGGTTGTAGTATTTCTCCAGCCCATTGAGCCAGATTGTTTTGTTTGTTTTTGTATTTTGCACCATACCCAGTGTTGCCCAGGTCCCAGTTCTGGAGATACTGTAACCTTTTGTGGTGCCATGGACTAAACACGGAGCAGTTGTGTGCAGAGCAAACACACTACGTCATGTAAACTTGCTGAACCCTAGTGCTATTATTATTTTTTTTTGCTGGAGGGCGGTGGCTGCAGAAGGGTGATTGGCATCCCAGAGCTTACACCTGGCTCTGCACTCAGGAATTGCTCCTGGCTTGCTTTGGGACCACATGGGATGCTGTAGTGGAACCTGCATTCGCATGAGCAAGGAAGTGCCCTCCCCTCTGTAATATTCTTCCAGTCCTTCTAGTGCCTTTTTAAAAAAAGATATTTCTCTTTTTGGGGATGGGACCACACCCAGCAGTGCTCAGCACTTACTCCTTCCTTTGAGCTCAGGGATCACTGCTGGCAGCTCAGTGGAACATGGGTTGCCAGGGATGGTACCTGGTCAGCTGTGTGCAAGGCAAATGCACTACCAACTGTACCAACTCCTCTGCTCAAAGAAAGTTTTTTTTTTTTGTTTTTTTAATCTTTTTTTGGTCACACCTGGCAATGCACAGACAAGGGTTATTCCTGGCTCTGTACTCTGGATTAAACGCCCAGCGGTACGCATCTCCCATATAGGATGCTAGAAATCGAACCTGCGTTGGCTGCCTGCAACACAAATGCCCTACATGCTTTGCTATTGCTCAAGCCCCAGAGGAAGTTTTTTTTTTTTTTTCTAAGCTCAAATTCAGCATCACTGAAGTACCATTGAGCTGACTTCTGCCTATTTGTTGGGCATGCACATGCCTGGCCTGAGGATTATGTGGTACCGGGGTTCCCACGGGCAAAATGTCTGTAATGGGCCACCCTTGGCACCATGTCCCAATTCTTGCTTCTCTTCCCTGACATCAGTCCCCATCACTGTCAAGCGGGTGATAATCATATTAGCCTACCCTGGACGAATTGAGGAGGCGTTCATAATATCACACTCCTGTAATTTGGTCTGTGGGGAAGTGTCTTCTTCCACTTCCAGACATGAGTTTGATGTGAAGGTTAAATATAACCAGACTTATGTAAAAGCTACTACCTGCCCAGTGTCCAGCCTATGGCCAAGCCTGCTCACCCAGGACCCTCTTTTTCACATGCAATCGGTTTTTTTTTTTTTTTGGCATCATGATGATAATTTTTTTTTTTAATTTTTTTAAAAATAATTTATTTATTTATTGAATCACTGTGGGAAAAGTTACAGAGCTTTCGGGTTTAGTTCTCAGTCATGTAGATACCAAACACATTTCCCTTTACCAATACTCATTTTTAGCCCCGAACCCCAATAGACCCCCACCTCCCACCCCTCCCAATTCTTGTGAGGCAGATGAGTTCTAGTTAATACTCTATCTACTTTGACTAGATAGATTATTTCGATAGAAGATGCACAATTATTCTTTAGAGTTTACGACCCACCCCCACCCCCCAATCAGACATGCTGAAACAGCGTTGTGAAATGATTTGCTTTCTACAACTTGGTTTAAGAATAAAATGAAGTCACGCGGCCGCTATCGCGGCCGCGCGGTTTTGAATTTCTGCTATTTTACTTATTGACCCTGGAAAAATTTCTATCAAAAGTTAGCTAGTTAAGAGATTGGTTTCTGTGCCCTGGAGTCGTGGCCGTGCCGGAGAGCCGCTCGTGGGGGGCAGCTGGCGACCTCGGTGGGGCGTGGGGGACGGCCCACAAAGCCCCCCTTCCCATGAGGTCCCCGCCGCTCCCCCAAGCCCGGCTCAAACCTGCTTTCCACAAGGCTCCCGTGCGGCCGCCATCTTTGCAATCGGTTTTCTAACCTGGAGTAGTTGGCCCTGGAGACAACAGGTTGTCAGTTCCAGAGCTGGTGCCAGGCCCTCGCGACCAGCAAGGTTTCTTCGGGCATTTCTTTTTTTGTTTGTTTCTGGGCCATATCTAGGACTATTTCCTTTATTCGTTATCCCCTATTGCACTGTGGTAGGGCTCACGGTGCCAGGGATTGAGCCTGGGGTGGCCCTGGTTAAGCACTTGTACCTGCTGTGCTGTCACTCCAGCCCTCTTCAGGGATTTTTTTTTGTAGGGGGGGGGTCACACCCGGCAATGCTCAGTGGTTCCTCGTGGCTCTGCATTCAGAAATTACTCCTGGCAGTGCTGAGGGGACCTTATGGGATGCTGGGGATTGAACTCGGGTTGGCGCATGCAAGGCAAATAAATGCCCTGCTATATCTGGTCCCTCCAGATGTTTTTACATGTGACATTTCCCCCCTCTCTAGGATGGGAAGGAGTTTGGAATTGGTGACCTCGTGTGGGGAAAGATCAAGGGCTTCTCCTGGTGGCCAGCCATGGTGGTGTCCTGGAAGGCCACCTCCAAGCGCCAGGCGATGTCCGGCATGCGCTGGGTGCAGTGGTTCGGTGACGGCAAGTTCTCCGAGGTGAGTCAGGGCGAGCATCTCCCCATGGTCCCGAGATGAGTGTGTGTGTGTGGGGGGGGGTAGAGGAGGGAGCAACTAGAGCTTGGTGTGGAACTATATTCCTGGGTGCCTCAGGGGAACTGTTATACTGTTATGCAAGATTTGGCTTCAACTGAGGTTCAGGTTGCATGGCAAGTAGCTTCAGTCCTCCTGTCTTCTGTCCAGCCCTGTAACTTTCTTTTTAAGAGACTCACCAATGTGGAGCACCCGGGATTGGCCTAGAAAATTGGAGCAAAGTTGCACCAGGCATTTACTGGTGCCATCACTGGTGCAGCGTCTTTCAATCTCCGTAGCACCTGGCAAGGCCTGGATCCCGGGCCTCCTGGATTTCTTTCTTTAGAGGGGTGGTAGTACTCATGATTTACTCTTGCCTCTGTACTCACGGACCACTCCTGGCCATTATCAAGGCAGTCTGCGGAATGCCTGGGATGGAACTAAGGACAGTCACGGGCAAGTGACGTGCCTTACCCAGTAGACTATGGCACTGGCCCAAGTGTGTTCCTGGTTCTTCTAGAGCAGAGTGACCAACCTGGATTAATGTGTGAAGGTCTGGGTAGGCAGAGGAGGTATTGGGTGGAAAGGATTGATGAAGAAAGGAGGGAAAGTCTCTGCCTCCAAACCATCCAGAGGAAGGTATGCCTTTGGCTTCTTTGGTTCTTGGTTTGGCTAGCTGTGTGCTCTGGCCTCGTGAATAGGTTATTTACAGTGTTGGTCTCAAGCTGATTAAGCAGAATCGTTCTGGTAGCACAGGAAGAGCTGTGCCAGGCCTGCATCGGAGAATCCTAACTTCTAGGGGATCGAGAGTGGAATTGTGCAGAGAGTAGTGCCCCAGTGATTGGTCTCTTTCAGAAAAGTGGATCTAATTCTCATCCTGGGAAGCCTTGAGGAAGGAACACTAGCAAGCTCAAGCCTCATTTAGATGCGGCTGTAGAGAGATATATAGCTTAGTGGGTAGGTGACTTGCCATGCACACAGCTGACCTGACTTCAATTTCCAGCACCCCATCCTATACCTCAGGTATTTCCAGGAGTGATTCCTGAGTGCAGAGCCAGGATTTACCCTGAGCTTTGCTAGGTGTGCCCCCAAATGGAAAAAAGGGAGTAGTATAGGTAGTGTATTTGTAGGATTTAGCTTCAAATTGGAGTCGGCTTTTTTAGTAAATAGCCATTTGTGGCAATGAAATGGAAGTTTGCAAAGGACAAGAATACAGAGAGGCATAAAAGCAACAGGACAGCGGGTCAGGGCTTTGTCTTGCATATGGTTGACTCAGGTTCAATCTTGGCACCCGATATGGACCCAAGTCAGTGAGGAGTGATCCCTGAGTACAAAGTCAAGAGTAAGTTGAATGAATCTCATCAAATTAGATAGAATTCATCTGACTAGAATTCATCTAACTAGAATTCATCATTAGATAGAATTCATCTAACTAGAATTCATCTGCCTCACAGGCAGTGAGAGGGTTGGGAGGGGGGCATATTGGGGTTCTTGGTGATGAAAAATAAATACCGCTGAAGGGAAATGTGTTTGATTGCATGACCGAGACTTACACCGGAAGGCTTTGTAACTTTTCCCACAGTGATTCAATTAAAAAAAAGTGTAAGTTGAGTCAGACGGAAAAACCAAAATCCAAAACCAAACCCCCTATCAGGGGTTTGACACTTGCTGTGTGGGGAAAGGAATAAACTGCAGATCCCACATCAGCCAGCAGAGGGCGCAGGATAGAGGGTGCCAGGTTGATGCTTTAGTGATGCATCTAATTACAGAGCTTGTGTGCCAATGATTTGAGTGAAATGAAATAACTGGGTTGTTCATAATTGCCCTGGCCCAGTGAGACAGGAAATGGGCCATGAAAGACTGGATTTGATGCTAATGAGACAAAGCATGGGTCTGTGAGATGGTGAGTCAGGATTCATATGGGGCCTTTTGTTGGATTGGTTTGAGCAGCTTGGCATAGCAGAAAGCACCTCAGGGCGCACCAGAGAGATGGCATTACGGCATTTCTTGTATCCAACAGACCCCTCACAAGAGCCGTTGAATGGGGGTCCCTCTTTTGTTTTTTAAATTCTCCAATAATTTTGGGGCCAACTCCAGTGTTATTCAAGGTTTATTCCTGGCTCTGCTGTCAGGATACCATATGGGGTGACTGAAATCGAACTGAGGTCAGTATGCAAGGCAAAATGTCCTGCCTAACGGGCAATAAAAACTGTGTCCCAGCTTTTTTTTTTTTAACTGTGGCCTCGGAAGCACCACTTTCAGGGGGTCGGTCGTATGAACTGTGGCTGGCATGAAAGAAATGGTGTCTGATCAGCAAGTGGGTGGTGTCATCTCATCCACCTCAGTTGCATCCACGCCTGACCTGGCTGCTGAGGGCATGAGTGCCAGACCATGGATGCTTAGTTCATGTGCAAGGCAGAAATCAAACAAGCAGTCCCTAGAAGATCCTTTGCTCTGCCCAGCGCTGAGCAGAAAGAGACATTATGCTCAGAGACTGACCGTGGAGCACCATCCTGGCCATGGTCCCTGAGGTTATTCCCAATTTTGGCCTGGTCAGGAGCTCCCCTCTGCCTGCTGGGGTGGAAGGGGTGGTTTCATTCAGACCCTCACACATGCAAGTAGGATCGAATCTTGGGCCAAGCACCGAATCACACCTGCCCAGGTGGGCTCTGCTATGGTTCCTGTTTGTTGTTCACACCTGCTGGTGCTCAGAGACTCCATGCTTCAGCACTCTCAGTGCTCCTGATCATGCCAGGGTTGGATTGAAGCTGGGGTTCCTGCATGCCAAGCATGCATTTGCTCCAGCCCTTGGAGTCCTCTCCTCTGTTTCACATATGGAGGGCCCTGTCGAGTAAGACTGTGCAGTGACGCCTCCGTGGCATTTCCGTATCCTGTTTTCCCACTCTGCTCTTTCCACCCATGAAGTTGGGTGGCCGGGAGTCGCCTTATAGGAGGCACCCAGCCACTCAGCAATAGTCTCTCTATGGGGGTGTCCTTCTCTTCCAGGTCTCTGCAGACAAGCTAGTGGCCCTGGGGCTATTCAGCCAGCACTTTAATCTAACCTCCTTCAACAAGCTGGTCTCCTACAGAAAGGCCATGTTCCAGGCCCTGGAGGTAAGTGGGAGTTGGGTCCTGCCTGAGGAACCGGCCCAATGTGAGGTCATTAAGAGTTCAGCACGGAAGGATAATACAGCGGCAGGGCGCTTGCTTGCCTTGCATGCGGGTTCAAACCCTGGTAACCCTATCGGGTCCCTGAGCCCAGCCAGGAGTGAACTCTGAGCACACAAACTGCAGAGAGCTCTGAGCACCGCCAGGTGTGGCCCCAAAGCCTATGTATGTATAAAGAAAACCCTGAAAAACTAAAAGATCAGCAGCAAAGCCAGCATAGTATGCACTGGGCACCCAGGATGGCTTAGGGAAGTGGACAGGAGTGGTGCAGACAGGCCCGGAGGTCTGGAGGTAGTGGGGGAAGCAGCTTCCTTTCCCAGGGCTTCCTGGTGCCACCCCAGCTTCCTGCCAACTGGGACACTGAGAGAACAGCTGGGTAGGGGGATAGTGTCTTTAATTCCAGTGAGGTTTTTCCAGGACCTCTAAGGCATAGTGCAGGCCAGCTGCCGCCTCGGGCTCTGCTCCTTCTCCCTTTACAGGGACTGGGTGAGGTCCTGGCCTTCGCCCAGACCTTGGGAGATCCAGGCTCAGCCTAACTGGATAGGTGAATCCTCACTGCTTGTCATGGAGGCCCCTCAGGTGGGCACCACCCATATGTCTTCACCAAAGGCATCCCCAGTGGGGCCAAAATTCCAAGACCCCAATGGGGCAGCTGTGATTGGCTCAGTTTGCTCTGGCCACTTGGTGTGTGCCCAGAGGCCTCTCTCTCTTGCTTCTCCCTGCACAAGCCCCTCCTTCTGGTCACATACCAGAGCCCAGGACAGCTGCTGGCTCTGACAGGGCCCGGTGTGAGGAATGCAGGCCCCAGCTGGGGGAACTCCCCGAGTTTGGTATGGCGTGGTGTGGACCCCCTTCCTCCAACCTCTCTGCTCCCCTCACCACCCCCCACCATCTACTTGCCATTCACCGTAGAATTTCTTCTGTCTTGGCAGAGAGCCCGGGTAAGGGCCGGCAAGAACTTCCCCAGCAGCCCAGGAGATTCACTGGAGGACCAGCTGAAGCCCATGCTCGAGTGGGCTCACGGGGGCTTTAAGCCCACCGGGGTTGAGGGCCTGAAACCCAACAACAAGCAACCAGGTGGGCCTGGGGCCCTGTGACAGCGCCTCCTGCTGGCGGGAGGGAGAAAGCATGCATTAGACTCACTTAAACTTACTGGTTTCCCCTCAACCTACCCAAACATGCTAACATACCTCAGCATTTCAGAGGTAGTCCTGGGGAATTTTCTATAACCCCTCACTCCAGAGGAGACCTCAAAGTCTAAAACCCCAGAGGTATAGCATGGCAGCCTTTTCCAGCTTCTCTGTTACTTATGAGTCAAGTGTATTTTGTTTGGATGCATGCTTTGTTTTTATAAAATATAGCTACTGGTCATGAAAGAGTGTTCAGACACTGGCTTCCAAGTGACTCTGAATGTGGTTCTCTGACCACCACCAGAAGCCAAGTTGGATTCCTGAGCATTGCCATTGGGACCTGCAAATCAGAATAAGGATCACACCAAATTGTTAAGGCAGCTAGAATGCTAATAAGGGTCCATTCAACATTTCCTCCCCATCTTTTATTTTTAATTCCTACCCGATGCTTATATGTGTTTAGCTTGTTGCTTTCCATTCACCCATCGGGCTGTGCCCAGCCAGGCCCGTTGCTCAGAAGCAGGGTGCGTCCCTGAGGGCGTGGGTTCATTCCCGTGCATCTCAGAAGCAGAAAGCAAGCAAATGGAAAAGTTGAGGTGCTCATGCTTATCCCTGTGGCTCCCCAAGGTTCTGACACCTGATTTTCAGGGCTCCCGTGTGTGTACTTTCCGACGGGCATTCACACATCTTAGCGACTGTGACTCCTGGGGGTACATGCTTGGCCCTGAGCTCCAACAATCCCTGGGAGGTGTTGGGGATAGCAGGATCCCACTTGGTGCAGACGAGATTTGAACTCCTAATTGGATGATTGAATCAGGAGCTCTAAGCCACAGCAGACCCTGTTCTGGAGTCATGATTACAGATAAGGTTGAGAAAAGAGGGTGTAGAATTGTGCTCCTAGGAGAACAGAAACACCATAAGTTGCTTCTGGGAGCCATGCTCATAGTTTGACTCTGTCCTGCATTCGCAAGTACAGGGAACTTTATTTGACACGGTCTTTTGAAAGCAGGTGCCGGAAATCCAGGACTTGTTTTATATTCCGCATATCATTTAACATAGTGATTTCTGTTTTTGTTTTGTTTTCCTGTTCCCCTAAAGTGGTTAATAAGTCGAAGGTGCGCCGTTCAGGCAATGGGAACTTAGAATCAAGGAAATACGGTATTCCTTTGCCCTCTGTTCTCTGCACTCTCTTCCACTTCTTCTCACTTGGTCCTCACTGGGAAAGCACCAATTTGGTGGAAAAAAATCCCCTGAACTTTCACAAGGGACCCTTCACTCCTCCCCTCCACTTGGCCTCTGCGGTGTGCACAGCCTCTGGCCTAGGGTCTCCTGTGGGAAATTCTGCCCTTCTCTTCCTCAATGTGGATCACAAAAGCACTTTCCACTTTAATGTCACTGAAAGGGCCTTATGATTTTTTATTCCCGTGTAATTTTCTTGTCCTTGTAGACTACTGCAAGGATTCTAGAAATGTTCTATTAGTGAATGGAACTTCCTTCCACAGATTATGCCTTTTACAAGATCCAGTAGTTTTTGGGTTGGGGGCCACACCCCGCTGTGTTCAGGGCTTACTCTTGTCTCTGCACACAAGGATGACTCCTGGTGATGCTGGGAGGACCCTATGGAAGGCAGAGGATCAATCCTGGGGGGCAGGGCATATGCAACGCAAGCCCCCCTCCTGTGGCTGTACTACCTCTCCAGCCCCCGTATCAGTTTGAACCCTGACATAAAACTGGAAAAGCTTGATAAATAGTTTGGCAACATGGCCAGTATTCCAGGGGGACAGAGATATAGCACAGAGTGTAGGGCGCTTGCTGGTCTTGCAGGCTGCCAACCGAGTTCAATTTCTGGCATCCCATATGGCCCCCTGACTGACCCCCACATGGGTGATCCCTAAGTGCCAAGCCAGGAGTAAGGCCTGAGCAGCATCGGGTGTGTCTCAAAACAAAATGTGAACAGTCCAATACTCCAAATAGTACAACCTGTTGGATCAGACTCATTGACGGTTCTTAAATGTAGGTAAAAATGTAGATGCCAGAGCACAAATGCTGTGCTTATGATCCTTGCCTTGATGTAGCGGATCCAACTTTGACCCCCAGCACCCATATGGTCCTCTAGCTCTGCCAGGAGGAAGCCCTGAGCACAGATGGGTGTGGCCCAAAAGAACAACCACAAATTTTGTATGGAAACCGGATGAAGTGTAGACTTTCAGTCCCCATGACTCCTGGCCAGGCTCCATGCTCCTCCTTTGCCCTCCTACCTGTCCCCTTCCTGTTCACAGGGAGTAAGACGCGCCGACGCACGGGGAATGCAGACGACTCCACGGCTTCCGACTACTGCCCCCCACCCAAGCGCCTCAAGACCAACTGCTATAACAACGGCAAGGACCGAGGAGAGGAGGATCAGAGTCGAGGTGCCTGGGGAGGTGGGGGCCAGCCATTCTGTTCTTGCCCCCCACCCCCAGCTCACTTACCCCACCTCATCCCTTCCTACTTCTGTCCACAGAGCAAATGGTCCTGGATTTGACCACCAACAAGAACAGTCTGGAAGGTAACACTGTGCCCGCTGTGCCCTTGGCATTCCCCTGCCTCTCCTTGCTCTCTGTCTCCTCCTGGGATTCACCGGGATGCCAGCCTGTCCTTGGGTGGATGGGCACGTGACAATGGCCACAATGGAATGCCTGGCCAGCAGGAGAGACTTGGGACCAGACCTCATCCCAGGGCCCAGGACCTGTTCAGCATTCCCAAGATGCCGTTAGCCAGAGCTGGCTTGGAGGTGCAAGGCAGGGGCCCAGCTCATGGACGCCAGCTGGTCTAACTCAAGTGTCCTAGTGTGGTCTAACTCAAGTGTCCAGGATGGAAACTGCCCCTGATTGGAAAAGGCCTCGAAGGCATCTCCAGGGACCCAGAATGAGTGAGGCAGGCTTGATGAAAGTGGATGAATATGGACCAAGTATGGTCATTACGTGTAGAAATGGAAAACATTTTCTGCCTCCTGACCCAAAGGCCCTTGATACCTTAGCCTTGGTGCGGAGCCTGGTGATGGAGCAACCTGAATCTCTCCTGTCTCCTGACTCCAGTACCCATCTCTAAACTTCTTGCACAGGACTGGTTGTGGCATGAAGTCCCAGTTTTTTTTTTCTTTTTGGGTCACACCCAGTGATGCACAGAGATTACTGGCTCTGCACTCAGAAATGGCGGTGCTTGGGGGACCATATGGGATGCTGGGAATTGAACCCGGGTTGGCCATGTGCAAGGCAAATGCCCTACCCACTGTGCAATCACTCCAGCCCACCAGTTATTTATTTTATATTTTGATTTTGGAGGGAAATCTCTAGATTACTCCCAGCATTTTTCTTGGTACTCCTGGTGGGTATGTGGTCAATCCAGGTGGGGCTTTTAGGGACTATGTGGTTCTGAGAAAGAATCAGACCCCCAGCCTCACGGGTTAACCTCGAGTCCTTGAAGCATCGCTCCAGATCGGGACCCTATAATAAGGCTTGTGAAATCACATGATAGAAAAATGATGGCATCCTGGGCTGCCAATCCTGTATGGTCCACAGATCTTGTCAGAAATGTTCAAATGGGCATTAGGGATAGTATAGGAGCCTTAAAGCAGCTTATTTTGCATGTGCTTGCATGAGCTCTTTGCTGGGTTGAAAACAGCTACTTGGAAGCTTTTTAATTTGTTTTTTTGTGTGTTTTTGGCCATATTTGGTAGTCCTCTGGAGTTTCTCTCCTGTGTCTGTTGTTCAGGATTATTCCTGGTGAGCTTGGGAAAACATGGGTTGCTGGGTATCGAAGCAGGGTCAAGCATTTGCAAAGCAAGCAAGTGCCTTCCTTACTCGGCACTGTCTCCTGTCCCCCAATGAAGCAGTGTTCAAAGGCATCAAGCATGCAAGACCCTTGGCTGTTTTGTGGTATGACTTTCCAGGCGCACTTGTCTTGGGGCTTCTGCGACGGTGCTATCTGTCTCGCTCAAGCCCCCTCACTGTCTCTTACAGAGAGCTGCTTGTCCTGTGGCAAGAGAAACCCCGTGTCCTTCCACCCCCTCTTTGAGGGGGGTCTCTGCCAGACATGCCGGGTAAGTCTTCCCCCCACCTGACCTCGACCCCCACTGTGGCTTGATATTACCTCCCAGATGGCCCAGGAGCTGCTCTAGGAGCCTCCTGGTTCCCTACCACTCACCTTTGAACTTGAGGGGTCCCTCCTTGTCCTACTAAAGATCCCCCCAACCCCCATTGCCGTATTCGGAGGCTGCATCTGAGGGCTTCTGAGGGCCTCTGGAGCCCTGGCTGGGTTTCATTGGGTCCCGCTTGCTCTCTCGCTGCAGGACCGCTTCCTCGAGCTCTTCTACATGTACGACGATGACGGCTACCAATCCTACTGCACCGTTTGCTGTGAGGGCCGTGAGCTGCTGCTCTGCAGCAATACCAGCTGTTGCCGGTGAGCGCGGCTGCAGGCCTCCAGGCTGGGGCCCCTCACATGACTTGGCTCCGTGGAGGGAAGGGTCATGGCACGAATATCTCTCCCTGGCCCGGCTTTGGAAATTTCTGGGCACAGACCTCACAGGGAAGGGCCAGCGGTCCCCGAGTCCCAAGGGTTCTCGTGCTCCCAGGAGCTGAGGAGAGGCCACAGCAGAAGGGACCCCAGCAGGACCCAGACTCCGGACAGAGCCTCCCACTCAGCCTGGACCACCTATCTCACTCTTCCCCCGCAGGTGCTTCTGTGTAGAGTGCCTGGAGGTGCTGGTGGGCGCGGGCACGGCTGCAGATGCCAAACTGCAGGAACCCTGGAGCTGCTACATGTGCGTCCCCCAGCGCTGCCACGGCGCCCTGAGGCGGCGAAAAGACTGGAACACGCGCCTGCAGTCCTTCTTCACCAGTGACCCCGGGCTCGAATACGTAAGCCTCCGCAAAGCCCAGATGCTCCCCGTAGTCTGGCCCAGAAGGGATAGAAACAGAGTGTCCTGGCTCTGCAGGAGGCATAATAGCTTCAGAGAATGGGGAGCCAAGATCTTTGTGTGTGTGTGTGTGTGTGTGTGTGTGTGTGTGTGTGTGTGTGTTTTGCCTGGAAATGGGGGGACTGTAGGATAAATCAGTTTGGAAGATGACATTATCCCGTGAGCTTCTGAGAGCCTCACAGGAGAGAGTCAGCACCTAGACATACCTTGGTCCTGTCCGTAGGCGTTAGAAGAGGTGGACATAGGGACATCATGTGAAAAAAAATGGACATCATGGTCCAATTCAGCTCCATTCAGTCTGAGTAAAGTCACAGGCACAGAAGAAGAGCAAGCACACACAAGGATTCCTCTTGCATCCCTGCCGGCCTGTTTGTGGAGCTCCTGGTTATGCAGAGGGGGAACGTGTGTGTTTCCTATGCTCCGGGGCTCAGGGGAGGGGGCTGTAGACTGGAGAGGTTCCTTGCTAAGAAAGTGCAGGGCGCGGGATTGGATTTCTCTCAGCCTGGGTCAACGACTTTCCCCCCGTGGGACAGACTTGTGGCACCTCCCTGACCTCCTTTTGGAACCTTGCAGGAAGCCCCCAAATTATACCCTGCGATCCCTGCGGCCCGGAGACGGCCCATCCGCGTCCTGTCCCTGTTTGATGGCATTGCAACAGGTGAGTGGGTGCCGCTGATGGAACGGGACTCCCAGCCCAGAAACTGGCCACGTGTCGGCTGCTGGCCAGCTTCTGCCAGAACCAAATGTCCTGGGAAAGTTCTTCTCGGATCCTTCAGTGCTGATAAGACCAACGAGGTCCTTGAGGCAGCACCTCCCACCCCTGGGTCCCATCTACCTGTGCCTCCCACTTTTTAAAATTTATTTATTTATTTATTTTTTGCTTTTTGAGTCACACCCAGCGATGCACAGGAATGACTCCTGGCGGTGCTCCGGGACCACATGGGATGCTGGGAATCAAACCTAGGTCAGCTGCATGCAAAGCAAACGCCCGGCCTGCTGTGCTCCAGCCCGGGTGCCTCCCACTTTCTCCAAGCACAGAATCATCTCTCTCTGCACTCTGGGCTCTGCCCATCTCCATCAGACTATTCCCGGACAAGTGATAAGCAGTTTGTTCCTGGGAATTGACCAGCAGAGGAGATGGACTGTCAAGCAGCACATTCTATCAGTAGCACCCATGCGTGGGTGTAGCAGTTCCCAGGCTCAGTACCCCTCAGGTCATTGCCCTCTGCTCCTTCCCCTACTCGGATCCTGCTGTGTCAGCAGTCACCCTCACCCTGACCATCACCCCTGACTATCACCCCTGGCTTTGGTGTATGTCCACGGTCTAGGGTCAGATTTGTGCAAGGTCAGCACAATTCTAGCTGTACCACATCTCGGCCTCTTTTTTTTTTTTCCCCCCTGTGGTTTTTGGCCTGAACTGAGTTCAGGACTTAACTCCTGACTCTGTGCTCAGGTCACTGCTGACGGGCTCAGGGATTGAGCCCAGGTCAGTTAATGCATGCGAAGTGCCCTACATGCTGTCTTAGCCCCATCTGACTCTCTGTTTATTTGTATTTTTGGTTTGTTTCTTGTTTGGGGTGATATAACCCATGATGAATAGGGCTCACTCCTGGTTCTGACCTCAGGGATTACTCCTGGAGGGCTCAGGGGAACTTAAGGGGTGCTGAGTATCAAATCTGATCACTTGCATTCAAGACAAACTCTACCCATTGTACTAGTTCTCTAACCCCCATTTATAGGTATTTTTGATTTTGAGATTTAGAACCACAGAGGCAGTGCTCAGGGATACTCCTAACGCAGTGGTCAAGGGAGCATGAGTTGCTGGGGCATATTCATGCTGTTCCAGCCCTTTTGAGTTATCTGCAGGACACACATTTTCTTATTTTAAAGATCTTACCTGGGGGGTTGGAGACAGTACAGGAGATAAGGCACTGGCTTTGTATTGCCAGAGCACATTGCTGGGCATGGCTAAGTTTGGCGAAACACCACCCACACTGGAAAGAGATTTTCGTGGGAACGTGGAGCAATAGTTCGGTGGTAGGGCATTTACCTTGCAGGAGGCCCATCCAGTTTCCCCCACCCCCATCCTAATTGGTTCCCCGAACCCCACCCACTTGGAGTGATCCCTGAGTGCAGAGCCAATAGTGAGCCTTGAGCACCATGAGGTGTAGTCCCCAAACCAAACACTAATAATAATAAAATAGATTTATGGGTGTGATGGCAGATTAACTCCAGGGCCATCCCGAGTGAGGAATATCATCGGCTCACACACCCACTCATGGCTCTGAGATCCCGGAGCAGGGAGTGCGCACTGGGCCACTCTCCACTGTGGCACCAACCATTGGGCTTCCCTGCCCAGTTTATCCTCCTGGGGTCCAGTTTGCTAGGCACTGCAGGGAGGGGCCCAGATCAGAGGTCTTGGCCCATTTCATCTTTTCTTCATGCCCTTCTCCTCCAAAGGTTACTTGGTCCTCAAAGAACTGGGCATCAAAGTGGAGAAGTACGTGGCTTCGGAAGTGTGCGAGGAGTCCATCGCCGTGGGCACAGTGAAGCATGAGGGCAACATCAAATATGTGAACGATGTCCGGAACATTACCAAGAGAAATGTGAGGCGCCCCTGTATTCTCCCCCCCCCACCCCGGGCCCTGTACACGTGCCCTGACCCCCGGTACCCACAGCCTGGAGCTTCTTCGGGCCCAGAAAATGGCATCTCGGAATCTCGGAAACCCCTGGGCATAGTTGGCATCCAAGGAGCCTTTGTCAGGATGTTTTCTGGCATCAGTGGGGTTGGTCGGGGGCTCTGGTGATAGCCTATGATGGTGCTTCCTGGGCGCTTACTGAGAAAGGGGTCTCCTCCTTGCCCCGCACCAGTCCTCTAAGAGCAGCTTTTTCTTGCAGATTGAAGAGTGGGGCCCCTTTGACCTGCTGATTGGTGGCAGCCCCTGCAATGACCTCTCCAACGTGAACCCTGCCCGGAAGGGTCTGTATGGTGAGCCGCATGGGGCTCTACCTGCTCTGCTCCGGAGCGCCTCCTGCTGGCAGCCAGGGGCCTTCAGGCCTTCCCTGTGTCCCTGGGAGAGCCTTTCTCCCTGCTGGTGCTGGGAAGTGGTAGCTTGCTGGGGGCATGTTCCAGACTCTGTTGTGCCTGTCTTCAGTCCCAGGGACAAGGGCAAAGGAGGGACTGCATGCAAACAGCAGCTTTCTTGGGGTGTCTTAGGGTGCTGCGACCAGTCTCACGTGTCCTTTTTGTCCCGCAGAGGGCACAGGCCGGCTCTTCTTTGAGTTCTACCACCTGCTGAATTACACCCGCCCCAAGGAGGGGGATGACCGGCCCTTCTTCTGGATGTTCGAGAATGTGGTAGCCATGAAGGTCGGCGACAAAAGGGATATCTCCCGCTTCCTGGAGGTGAGGGGAGCCTGGGTCCTGGGGAGGAGGGGTCATGCTGGTATAAGGACTGGCCAATGTGTCTTGATTGGGGTGTGTGTGTGTGTGTAGTGAGCAGTTCTCCTACGCGCAAGGGTCTCTCCTAGGGACTTTGGGCAGCCAGGCTTGTGACTCTTAAGTGAGGCCCAAGGGTGGCCCAGGGTTCTGCAGTGCTGGGCCTACCCAGGCCACCCTAGCAGTCACCCCAGAGCTTGGTGGAGATCCAGGTAGGTCGCATACAAGGTGGCTTGTGCCTTCACTCCTGTACTCTCTCTGGAATTGTGGGCTCTTGATGGAGGGCCTGACAGGATGTGACAGTAATGAATACGGTTGGCGATGTTCTTCAGTACTTGGGACATGAGAGACCTTTAAGTGCTTTCCTAGTGAGGCCCTATGGGATCTGAAGAAACTCTGAATGCTGAGCTTGTTACTCATGCTTGCGTGGGGAGCGGCCAGCACAGTGGCCACAGGAAAGTGAGTTATTGTAGCTTAATACATAAAACTTTCCTCCTAAGCTTTCCTGGGTCACACCCAGTGCTGCTCAGGGATTACTCTTGGCTCTTTGCTCAGTGATGACTCATGGTGGGCTCGGGGTAAGGTCGTACCTCAATAATGTCTCCTTCCCCCCCATATGTACTCACTCTATCTACTCCTGATATAGAAAGCATGGAAGTTATACAACTACTCCTGATGAACTACATAGGAAATCTCGCATCTGAAGCCATATTTTGTTGTACTGTATCCATGCCTCTAAGACTGCATCTCACCTAAAAAAGTTTGAACTGCGTTTGCTTTCCTCACGTACCACTGTGTACACTAATCTGGTGTCCGCTTATCAAAAGTTTGGCTCTCTGGACACCTTGGCTCTCTGGACACAACCAGGGCCTGTGTATCCTGCCAGATTCCTGGGAAATGGGTCTGTCTCCTGTGCACTCCCCAGCCACAGAGAGGGGAGCACCCTGCACCTTGGTTCCACCACACAGGCTCCTCCTTTCTCTCCCTGCAGTGCAATCCGGTCATGATCGATGCCATCAAAGTCTCGGCGGCACACAGAGCTCGCTACTTCTGGGGTAACCTGCCGGGGATGAACAGGTAATGACGGGGTGGTCACCTTCAGGGTGTAAGTACAGCCGGGGTGGAGGCAGGACCAGGTCAAGCCTTGCAGAAAGAACTGGCACTGCTAAGAACTAGCCACGCCCTGGACTTCATTCAGACTGAGCCCTTGCTCAGCAACAAGCCGAACATCTCAGCAGATTCAGGCCTTTGGTTCATTCTTCCTCTTGGGCCTGGCACCGGGCTTGGCATGACAGTGCCATGTGCTAGATGGAGCAGCCTGTGGACACCCCTCCCAGCTTTCTCCCTGGGAAGGAGATGACTGAGGGACACAATCACCTGTCCCTGGGATGAAGTGTTCTGCAATCAGGCCTTTGGCGACTAACCCCGAAATAGCTAGAGATGATCGTTGGTCCTGCGAAGCCTCTCACCCTCCAGTTTTCTTAATCAGGACGTTTTAATCACCCCTTTCATGCTGGAAACTACGAAAGCAAGTGGCATGACCCATGATTAATTATAGTCTCTCCGTGGCTTCAGGGGAGAAAAACCTCATTAAGATATAAAATCTTGATGAGGTTTCATCCCCCACAAGCAAAAGCTTTCAAAGTTCTCCTGCAGAAAGAAGTGTTGGCAGCCTAATTTTCATGTGTTTGTAGCCAGGTGTGGATGGAGAGTGCATGAGAACAGAAAGGAGGGTTTCCTGGCCTCTTGCGGTTTTATTTGGTTCTTGAGCTCATCAGGGCTAGTACGTATCTGGAGGGGGATCTGGATCCTTCTGGTGCTCGTGTGTTTGCCAGGCTGGAGGTGCCAAAGATGCACCCCTGGGTTGACCTGCTCACAGGGGCATGTGGGGAAGGCAGTGAATGGTTTCTGCCAAGACTGGGGTCAGCCCTTCCTGCAGAATCCCAAGTAAAGGAACAGACCTTGTAGTTCTTTGAAGGAAGAGTTTGTAGGCGAAAGGATAGGGTAAGTGGTAATCAGCTCATACTGTGGCAGGAGTTTGCAGGTGACTGGGGAGGAGAGGTAGGGGGAAACTCTGAGATCAAAATGAGGCTGTGAGTTCTGGTGCAGCTGAGCTGTCTTGTGGCATGCGGAGTCTAAGGATCTGATGTACATCAGGTAGTTTCTTTATTGTTTCTTTCTTGAGTCACAGCCAGTAGTGCTCAGGCTTATTCCTGGATCTGATTAGGGATCGTTCCTCAGGCTTAGGAGACTGTCTGAGGTGCTGGTGACCTGGGTTGCTGCGTGCAGGGTTTGATTTTAGGTAGTTATTTATTGGTACCTGTGTTTTCAATGGGGTAGAATGGTGTTTGTGGACAGGGATGTGGCCCAGTGAATTGTAGAGCATACGTGGGCTCTGCGTTTTAGTGCCAGAACTTCCCCCCGCAAAAGAGCAGCTTGTCAGTACCCCAGGAGTTGGGGTATATGCATCTGTACCCGAATTCAACTTCCAGGGGGGGCTTCTGGAAATGGCAGGTGATCCAGTCCTGTCGCTCCGGGAAGGGATCTGATTTCAGACTTGCTGAGGCCCAGGAAGTAGGCATGAAGAGCAGGAGTCAGTGAAGGCTGCAGTCTAGGCTGATGAGTTGTGATGAGAACAGAGCGCCCACTCTGTGCTCTCGGGTTTCTTGTACACCAGAGGATCCCCACGAACCAGGTAGTGTACCAGGCCGTGGCCCAGACTTGACCCAGGCCTCTCTCCTGGGCCATAGGTCACTGAAGGAAGCAGACAGCTTTGTTTGTTGAGCCATCTCCAGGTAGGGGCAGGGCTGGGGAGGAGGTGGGAATGACAACAGACTGGCCTGTGTACCTGGGCTGTTGAGTGAGTTAAGGACAGTCTCTCTCTCTCTGTCTCTGTCTCTGTCTCTGTCTCTCTCTCTCTCTCTCTCTCTGTCTCTGTCTGTCTCTCTTTTTTTTTGTTTTGGGGCCAGACCCAGCAGTGCTCAGTCATTATTCCTAGCTCTTCACTCAAGAATTACTCTTGGCAGTGTTCCAGGACCTATGGGGGATGTTGGGGATGGAACTCGGTTTGGCCACTGTCTACCCGTGGTACTGTCGTATGGCACTAAGGACAGTGGGAAGGGACTGGACTCACAGCCTCTCTTGGGCACCGTTTCCCCTTGCTGCTTGGAGCTCCCGACATGGGCGCAATGTGTTGACCTCTGCATTCAGACCTCTTGCTGCTTTTCTGCTGCAACTGCTCAGTCAGACGCTTTAGTCTTGAATGTTCTATGCCTTCCCCGGCTCTGCATGTTTGACTCTGTGTATGCATTCACAGGTTTATTGTTTATTTATTTACTTATTGGTTTTTGGGTTACACCCAGCTGATGCTCAGGGGTTACTCCTGACTCTGCACTCAGGAATCACTCCTGGCGTTGCTTGGAGGACCATATGGGATGCTGGGAATTGAACCCGGGTCAGCCGCCTGCAAAGCGATCACCCTACCCACTGTGCTATTGCTCCAGCCCCGCATTCACAGGTTTAAAGGCCAAAGATTCAAGGGCAGTTGCTTGTGAAGTCTTCCCTTTCTTTCTTGGCAACTCCTTTTAGTCCTTGAAGCCTCCTGAGGCTTCAAAAGCTGGTCACCTTACCCTGATCACACCTGTGCCAGTGTCCTTCCAACACTGGGGGCCCTGAGAAAAAAATGGGTCTTGGCACAAAGCCCATTGCATGAGGCTGGGCCCACAGGGTTCTCCTGAGCCCCCACCCATGCTGCATCCTGAGTTCCCTGGAACCAGAATGGGGGCGTCCAGCCAGACTGAACTCCTTGCAGGCTTGATTTGCTCAAGGATTTGCGGCATTTTCCAGAGCAGGTTGCTCAGCCTTAGACCTTCACTCCCACCTTTATCTAGCAAGTGCCTGCTCAAGGCGCGCCCCTTTAGTAATGGGTTTTGGCTATTCCCAGGCCTGTGATAGCATCAAAGAATGATAAGCTCGAGCTACAGGACTGCTTGGAGTTCAATAGGACAGCAAAGGTAAGATGTGTCCACACTGGTTGGACCGAAGCACACTGGGTGTCCTCCAGGCAGGGCCCTGGGGGGTCTCCCGTGTGTTCCCATCACCCTGTGCTCACATGACTTCTTGGTGCTGGGCCTCTATCTTCACATGATCTCTGTTCAGTCTCCAAGTGCAGAGCAGATGAGGGTCTTAGGAGCATCTCCCAAAAGAGGCAGTTTCCTTGGGTGAATGTTTATGATATTGACTGGGTCTTCTCAATAAATGCTTTCTCATACAATAAATTAATAAAAAAACAAATGCTCACAGTGATAAAGACCCTTCAGAAAGGAATTATCAAAGCTACCATCAAACTTATGCCCTTCATCCCAATCCTGGTGACCATCTTTTTAACTATGGGTTGGTTGGATTTTTTTCCCCCTCTTTTTATTTCCTTAATCTGGCTTGATTAAGTGATGTCACTTTATCTCTGAGCTGTGCACTCACACCTCTCATTTCTTTTGGTTTGTGGGCAGCACTCACTGTTCCATTCCTGCCAATTCTTGGGTCTGCAAGCCCAGCCCTGCCCACCCGCTTTCCTGTGCTCCTCCCTCCTTCCCTCCCTGGGTGCTTCCAAGCCTCAATCCCCCACCTCCCCGATCCCTCCGGCCCATGCTCACTGCATGATGTCGTTTTGTTCTCCAGTTAAAGAAAGTACAGACAATAACCACCAAGTCGAACTCGATCAGACAGGGGAAAAAACAACTTTTCCCTGTTGTCATGAATGGCAAAGAAGATGTTTTGTGGTGCACTGAGCTAGAAAGGTGAGCAGGGCTGCTGGTGGAGAGGGAACTACCCAGCTAGCGAGAGAGGGGAGAGCCTGTGCTTTTAGGGCCTGCCAGCACCGTGGGCAGAAGATTTCCCAGCTTGTGAGTGGGGCTGGGTGAGGCCTTGAGAGTCACCGATTTCCAGCAGAAATGGTGGAGGGGAGGGATGGTGTGAGGAATGTAAGCCATGAGATCATTAGACAGCAGCTGTCTGGCTGTGCCACCCTGGCATTTTCCTGCCCCAACACGCTGGGATCCCAGGAAAGAAAAAGCAACAGCCGTAGCACTCACCACTTTTTTTCTCAAGCTGCCTTCTGCCAAGTTGCTCAGTGTGTTTCCTGCTTCTTCGCGCTTCTCTCCCTCCCTTCCTTTGTAATTTTTGGGCCAAGTCCTAAGCACCTATTTAAAGAACCAGCTCTTAGCAAGTTCTGTTGGCTTGTGGTTTCAGTTTACTTTTCTGTTTTGTTTTTTTGCGGGGGCTGGATGTTGTCAGAAATGTAAAGGTTGTCAAAAATGTGATGGGCTATGAATATTCCTCTTGACAGTTTTTTGGCTGTGTCCCCACAGCTGAAAAAAGATTGCAGATACCAATTCTAGACTATTTGATTTTGATTTCTCCTTAACTAGTTTTTATAATACCAGATCAGGTGTGGGAGGCGAGAGAGTGTCTCAAAAGGCTGCTTGGTATGCAGGAAGCCCTAGGGTTGAGCCCCCACATCACAAGGGCCAAATAAGTTCTGAGCTGGAAGTAGACCTTCCAGGGCACTGCCAGGTATACCCTCCTCCCAAACACAAAGAATTAAATTCTAATTATTAGAGATGTGTAAACTTTCCCTTTCTGCAGTGGCTTATTCTGTATTTTATAAGCCTACTTCTGGGTTGGGCTTGTGATCCTGGATTATAAAGCTACAGCCCTAAACATGTGTCTCCAAGGTGTGTCCCTTTCCACATCCCCCCCAAGAGACGTTGTCCTGGGTGTGCTCCTAGTTTTGATTGTATACCCGGAAGAGTTTGGTTTGCTGTGTATCTGCAGTAGTGAGCCCCAGTAGAATCCCAGAGCAGCCTTGAGGATATTTGCCATCTGCCAGATACAATTTGGAATGCTTGATTCAGTTACGGCTTGAAAGGAATGAAAACCTCAGGGTGATTCAAGAAACTGGACAATTCCCTAAACAGCCGGTGATAGAAAAGTCTTTTTGCAAGCATTCAATCTCTCTACCCTCCACCTCCTTTTTACTTTTTCTTTGGGGGCCATACCCAGTGCTGCTCAGCGGACCATGCAGTGCCAAGACTTGACCCAGGCCTCTCGGGTGCAAAACTTACTTTGTTAAAATATCCAGCCCTAGTTTTCCTTCCTGTCATATTCAGCACCTGTTCCTGAAGGGTGTTGCCTAGGTCCTCTAGCTCACTTGGAGACAGACCCTGTCTTCTGCGGGCAGCAGGCTAGCTCAGCATTCATGGGGAAAAGATGCAGTCATGCCCAGGGCATGTCAGGCCTGGTGCTAGGGTAGAGGCACCCAGCTGGCCACTCTGGACAATTGCTTGTGTCCTGAAGAATGAGAACACCCTGAGCCCTGGGGGGTCCAGCAGGGGCCTGGAGAGCCCTTCTCTCCGGAGAGCCCTTCTCTCTGGCGTGCACTCCCCTGCCCCCGTTCACGTGGTGCTCTCTCCCCGACAGGATCTTCGGCTTCCCTGTGCACTACACGGATGTATCCAACATGGGCCGCGGGGCCCGTCAGAAGCTGCTGGGGCGTTCCTGGAGTGTGCCTGTGATACGACACCTCTTTGCCCCCCTGAAGGACTACTTTGCCTGTGAATAGTGACCCCCATGGGTCTGCTGGGGTACCCGGGATGCCCTGGGTCGAGCCTGGTCCCAGGAGCTGCTGCCTGGGCTCTGCCCGTCCTCAGCTCAGCCTTGAGGTGCCGCACTGCTTACCTCAGTGGGAGCCAGCAGCTCGTACCCCTCCTGGCAGGAGCCACCAAGGTGCACACACATGCACGCACACACACACGCACACACACACACCACACACACACACACACACACACACACACACACACACACACCTGGCCGCTTGGTGCGGTCGACTCGGTGCTCTTTTTTTGTCTTCTCAAACTTTAAAACTTGAAGTAGATTATAGTAAGATGGCTTTTTTTCCCCATCCTGGGTCGATGCTCAGAGAAACGATGGCTAAAATACCAAAACCACAGGGCCACGGAGCTCTGGCTCTCAGGTCCATGCAATAAACCCACTCAAGACACTGGCTTCCCGTGCCCCAGTTCCCTGGGGCGCTGCCCTGCAGCTAAGTGGCTTTTTTGTTGTTGTTGTTGTTTGTCAAGGCCCAGGATGTTGGTGTTGGTGTCCAGCTCCCTCCCCTGCCACCTCTCTTAGGGCCAGCAGATGAGGAAATGTCTTGAATTTCCCCCCACCTGTCCTCCTGGCCTCAATATCAACAGCTGGAATTGGGGCCTTTTTCCCCCAAGAATTTTCCACAAGGAAGATGGTTGCAGTTGGCATGATATCATCTGTTCTTGCCCAGGGGGCTAAGGGCAGCACCAGCCTGGGCCACGTCCCTCCCAAGGCCTGCAGGAGACTGGCGCTCAGGAGTCCTCTGGCTGGACGCTGCCCAGAGGACTCCTGCTCTCTCTAGCCCCCTGGACCCCCGGGGTGGAAGGGACGGAGTCTACCCCTGCAAAGGAACCGAGGCCCAGGTCCCCAGAGAAGCCAGGCCCCCTGTCCCCCTCTCAGCCTTGTCTGCACCCACCACCCAGTAGCAATGAAGGGCCGGGCCCAGAGGTCTCCACCACCCCCTCCTCTATAAGAGACGGTGGGAACTGCAGTGTAATCTGGGGATTTTAAAGTCCCTTTTTATCCTAAGAGTTGGTTTTTAAGGGGCAGGGGAGGGTTGACCAGCTGCATTTCAGAAATGCTGTCGTAATGGTTTTTTACACCTTTTAACTCTTCTTACTGGTGCTATTTTGTAAAAGAACAATGTCAGGTTTTGTGGGCGTTTTTTATATATACACCTTTTTAAGAAATAAAAACCTCAGACTTCTATTTTTTTTTTTAAAGAAAGACATTTTCATAACTTTTTGTAACTGGAGCCACGTAACAAACAATGGGGAAAAATTGTGCCTTGTCTCAACAGTTTTTTGCTAATTTTTAGGCTGAAAGATGAGGATGCCTAGAGTTTACTTTATGTTGAATTAAAATCAGTATTTCTCTATAACAGCCTGGTTTCCCTTCTCTTTTGTGGGTGAGAGCCGTGCGGTGGATTTGGGAGGACCTGGTTAAGATAAGGTTGGGGTTCAATTGCTTGTGTGTGTTTAACTGCAGGCAGCACCATGACACTAAGTGTCTCAGGGCCTTGGTGTCCTGATCCCTAACCCTCCAGTGAATGATACCCCAGGAGACTTATTCAGACACATAATGGTGCAGCCTTGGGACATGATTCCGTGCAGTGGCATAATTCATGGTACACATTGATGAGCCATGTCTGTATGTGTACACACTAGTACACATACACACACCATGCTGCTGGTCCTAATGCCAGTTTTCTGGCTGAGAATCATTTGCTCCTAGTGTAGCCTAGTGAGTAGATTTCTAAAACCTTGATTCCCAAAACATCTGATATCATGTTTTCTTGTGGAGGAGAAGGGGGAAGGTTCTGGTCGCTTCTGATTGCTCAGTTGGCAGCAACATCCCTTAACTGGCTCCCCACCCTCTCGTGATTTTATTTTTTGTTTGTTCAGATCAGCTCTCTCTAAATGATAATCTTCAGATCTAGACAGATTTCTTGGCTTTATAATTTAAACGGGTTGGCCATGTTGGCTGCGCCCTTTTAGAATGGACTGGAGCGATAGCACAGCGGTAGGGCGTTTGCCTTGCACGCAGCCAACATGGCCCACCCGAGTTCGATTCCTCCGACCTGGCAAGCTACCGAGCCTGGCAGCTACTGAGAGTATCTTGCCCGCACGGCAGAGCCTGGCAAGCTCCCCGTGATGTATTCGATATGCCAAGCACAGTAACAACAAAGTCTCCAATGGAGACGTTACTGGGCCCGCTTGAGCAAACGAACAACGGGAGGACAGTGATAGTGACAGATAATTTAAACGAGCACCTAAGGATTGGGCCAGGGAGATGGCTCGGAGGGCTGGAGCATGTGGGAATCCAATCCAAGTTGTGGTGGGCAGCCTTTCATAGCCCTCCAAAATGCAAAGCCCAGGACTGATTCCCCATTACGCAGACTGGGCAGGCTTTCCTCTGCCTTGTTCTCTCCATCACAAGCCATCCTGGAGCAGCGGCACTTGAACCTTTCTTTTCTTTTCTTTTTTTTGCTTTTTGGGTCATACCTGGCGATGCGCAGGGGTTACTCCTGCCTCTGCACTTAGGAATTACTCCTGGCGGTGCTCAGGGGACCAGATGGGATGCTGGGGATTGAACCCGGGTTGGCCGCGTGCAAGGCAAATGCCCTACCCACTGTGCTATCGCTCCAGCCCCTGAACCTTTCTTTTAGAACAGTGTGTCTATACCTTTTGGGCAGGGGAAAAAGATCTCTCCAGAGGATTTGTTTTAAAGATTTCTTTTTGTCTTTTTGAATCACGCAGGAGTTATTCCTGGCTCTGCACTCCAGAAATACTCCTGGTCGTGCTCAGGGACCATGTGGGATACTGGGGATCAAACCTGGTTCTGTTGCATGCAAAGCAAACACCCTACTATGACTCTGGTCACTCTGGAGGATGTTACTGTTGTGCAGCGGAGGCACTGTGTAAATGAAACACAGAAGCCGAGTTTCTGTGGAGCCCAGAACCAGCAGCATTAGTTTCTTCCCAGCAATGCTTTTGTAATGCCAAGTTTTTCTGAGCCTGTGTGAGTGGGGTGGGGTGGTGGGAGCAACTGCGCTCTTAGGTGCCACTGGGCCAGAAGAGCCTGGTTAGGAGTCTCCATGGTGAGACAATTGGCAATTAGCAAGCTGGCCTGGCACTTCTCTGAGCTGCTGATGCCCCAGAGGCCTGCCTGCCCCATTAAGCCATCTTGTGTACAGTGCTGTACCAGATGCCAGGACAGGAAGAGGATGAAGCAGAACAAACAGCCCCGGCCTCGAAAGCCCCAGAAAGGAGATGGAAGGCCCCCCCAGGTGAGCTGCCCTGTGGTCCCAGGGCCCAGCAGGCTGAGGAGCTTCAGAGAAGCCGTGGTGTGTGTGTGTGTGTGTGTGTGTGTGTGTGTATGTGTGTGTGTGTTGGATGGTGGTTCTTAGGGGGTTTTTTTTTGGTGGGGGGACACACCCAGCGATGCTCGGGGGTTACTCCTGGCTCTGCACTCAGGAATCACTCTTGGTAGTGCTTAGGGACCATAGGGGGATGCCAGGCATTGAACTTGGGTCAGCCTCATGCAAGGCGAATACCCTACCCACTGTGCTATCGCTCCAGCCCTTGTAAGGTAGTTTCTTAAGGGGCAGGCTGAGGAGCTTCAGAAGTCATAGTGCACATGTGTGTGTGTGGTGTGTTCCAGGTGTAAACCCCAGGCTCCAAGGCAAGGGAAAGAAGGCCATGAACATGGCTCTTGAGAGAAGAGGATGGCATTGGCATCATGATCAGCTTCCTGAGCAGAATCTGAGGGTCACCACACTGCCTATCAGTTTGGAAAGGGGACTCAGGACCTTTTTGTTCAAAAGATGGAATAATAACTAACTGTGGGCCAGAGAAATAAAACAACAGGTAGATGCTTGTCTGACCAGGATTCAATCCTTAACATCCTGTGTTGCTTTCCCAAGCATGCAAGGAATGATTCCGGAGTACAGAACTAAGAGGTAATACCTAGTCTAGCAGCGTGGCCTAAAAGATCCCTCCCACACCCCCCCCAAAAAAATTAAAGAAAAAACCCAAAACAAACCCTACTTCTATAGGGAGGGGCAGGTAGGGGACTGGAAGTATGAGGAAAGTATAACAGGTCCAGAGTCCGAAATGTGGCTAGAGAGATGAACAGCAGGTAGGGCATTTGCCCTGCACGAGGTATTATTCTGTTCAATGTCTGGTACCTCATACTCATATGGCTCCAAAGTGTCACCAAGAATGATCCCTGAGCATTAATGTGTGTGGCACAAAAATCAAACCAAGATTATTTAAAATATATATATATATTGGGGCTGGAGTGATAGCACAGCGTGTAGGGCGTTTGCCTTGCATGCGGCTGACCCGGGTTCGATTCCCAGCATCCCATAGGGTCCCCCGACCACCCCTAGGAGTAATTCCTGAGCATTGCTGGGTGTGACCCAAAATAAAATAAAATAATATAATAAAATAAAAAATGTATATTTTTGGTGGGGGCTCACACTTGGCAGTGCTTAGGGATCCACCCCTGGCAGGGTTGGGAGGATTCTATGGGATACCAGGGATTGAGTCAAAAGGGCCCCATAAATATTAGCTCTCACAATGTAAACACGAACCAAACTACAATAATGAAAAGACGAAGCCTACCCATCTGCCTGGGCTGCTGTGCGTGTTGAAGGGTATGACCAAGGTCAAGTGCTTGGCTTAGAATCTGCAGAGACAGTTGCACTCTTTGTCTCCATGATGGAAAGATGGGAACATCTCACATTTATTAGTGATGTACATAAGTCTCAACAAGGAAAGGCAGAGAAATATTTTCCCGGATACTGCACAGCCACAAACATGCAGTGGAGTGGCTATGGCGACAGGAACCCCCACGGCGTTGGGGAAAGACTGTCCTGAGGCAGTTCTGTGGCTGTTTGGTAGGGTCTGCAGGGACAGAGCTTCCCACCCTTCCTGGGTACCTTGATTTTTTTCAGCTGCTGCAGGGGTGATTATCTTTGCATCAGGTCTGTGCTTGGTTCTTTTCTCTCTGGAGCCAGACTGGGTACCTTAGCTACATCTTCATCTAACTTGTGACCTTGGATGTGTTCTGTGACTGCTCAGTGCCTCAGTTTACCCAGTTATTAAACTGGGATGATGATCAGATAGATAGTACAGGGGTGAAGGGTTTACCT